AGCAGGGAACGCAGGTCAACAGCAGCCCCTCCTCTTAGTGTGCCTTCCCCTGAACCTCCGTCAACCAGATCCTCAGGGGAGAGACAGGTACATCTTGTGTTTCTTTTCAGTGCAACTGTAGCTGTCCGGATGCCATAAGACATTTATTTTAAAATAATATTTTAAAAAATCTTTAGAAAAATGAAGGTCTGGGGACTGGGCACCATGTGTCATGCCTGTAATCCCAGCACGTTGGGAGGCAGAGGTGGGCGGATCACTTGAGGTCAGGTGTTTGAGACCAGCCTGGCCAACTTGGTGAAATGGGAGGATCGCTGGAGGCCAGGACTTCAACACCAGCCTGAGCAACATAATGAGACCCCATCTCTACAAAAACTTTAAAAAAAATAGTCAGGTGTAGTGGTGAGTGCCTACAGTTAAAGCTGCTGGGGAGGCTGAGGCAGGAGAGTCGCTTGAGCCCAGCAGTTTAAGGTCACAGTGAGCATTGATCATACCCCTGCACTCCAGCCTGGGTGACAGAATGAGACTTTGTCTCTAAGAAAAAATGTCAAAAAAATTTTTAAATAAAGGTCTCATCATTAAGACCCTAGACCCTAATGTCTGGCAGGTCATGTGAAAGAGTTCCTACCTGTTCAGCTTCCCCATGTCCAGGAGCTTCCTCGGACCCCCTGGGTTGACTGCCCCATGCTGCCCCGGCCAATGCACAGTTACCTTTGTTGAAAGCCTGATTGTGGCCCACATTTAGAATTATTAGAGAAAGGCCGGGTATGTTTCTCTAATAATTCTAATAATTACAGGCTCATGCCTGTAATTCTCAGTACTCCAGGAGGCGGAGGCGGGCGGATCACTTGAGGTCAGGTGTTTGAGACCAGCCTGGCCAATATGGTGAAACCTCATCTCTACTAAACATACAAAAATTAGCTGGGCATGGTGGTGCACGCCTGTAATCCCAGCTACTCGGGGGCTGAGGCAGGAGACTGTCTAAAAAAGAATTATTAGAGAAAGAACATTTAAGGAAATGAGAAAATCTGGTAAGGTATGGAAACCTTGGAAATCTGTTGAAAGCTAAAATCATCTTCTGATTAGGAGGGGCCTGGCTTCCAGCCTCCCTGGAGAACGGTTTGTTCCCCTCTTTTGAAGCCAGGTTGCAAAAATTTATGACCCATTTAATCATGCTCAGTGTTTGGAGCCACACAGAAAGGGCTTCTGCAGGCACGAGCATCATCTCGGGGCGAAGGGGGGTGTTTGATGTGTCATGCGCTGAAACACTCCCCACTCCACTCCTAGTTATTATTATTCTGCCTGTTAAGCAGGCAGAGTCCTTAACAGGCAAAGATGAAGTCCTGTGGGAGCTGCAGGGTTGGCTATACCAGAGCTGAGCAAAACAAGGCACGGCCAGGGGCTCCCAACAGCCCAGGGTGTGGCCCAGTCTCGGTAGGAGAAGCAACCTTTCTGGAAGCTTCCAGCCGGTGCCAGGCTTCTTTCTCTTCTGTCCATGGCATTTTGAACTCCCAGTGTACACAGATCTATTAGGGTCCCTTGCCTCCCTTAGAAATCTCTGTACAGAAGGCCAGAGCCATGTTTCATTTGTCCTTGTCCCAAGGCTTCCTGCGGGTTCTGGGTCACAGCAGCGAGTCCTTAACAGGCATAGATTAGAACTCTGCCAGAGTTTCTGGGTCGAGTGATGCAGCGCAAATGTTTCCCCTTCCGACGCTCTCTGAACTCCTGGTTTGTATTTCAATGGCTGTGGCTCTTCTGTTCACAAAGTGAAGCCGGACTAATCTGCCCTTCCTCCCTGGCCTGTTTCAAGCCTGAGGTCTCTGAATAGCCGTGTTAGTCGTAGCGGCGAGTGGGAGTGTTGTCTGCTGTGACAAATGGCTCGTCCCTTCCCCTAGAATGGCCACTGGACTTTCTGGGAACTTTCCTCGAAGTCCTCTGGTAAGGGAGGGTCTCGGTGGGCCTTTGGGGGCTGGGCAGGGACTGCCTGGTTTGGGCTGGCTCCTTCTCTTTAAAAGCAGAATGAGGGCCCCTTCTAGAGTCAGAATGAGCCCCTGCAGCACTTCTTGAACTTCTACAACCCAGGACAAGCTATTTTGCCTCTCTGAGCCCTCGGTTTCCAACCATATTTGGGCCAAGGAGAAGACTAAATGAGATACCATATGAAAGATGCTGGGCCCGGATTAGACCTTTAACAAACAAGAATTCGGGAGGGCAGTGGTGAGGTTCTTGCCTGCTCCCTGTCACCCCCAGCTGCCTCCTGCCACGGCCTAGCTCTCGGAAGGGAGGCGGCGCACCCACCCCACACCCTATAGCCTAAGCCAGGCTCACTGAGTCCCTCGCCACCTCCTTTGTTCAGTAAACACTGACTGGGCATCTGCTGGGCCCCAGAGCCTGCAGGAAGCCATGGGGCCAAGGACAAGTCAGACATGGCTCTGGCCCTCTGTACAGAGATCTCTATAGGAGGCAAGGGACCCTAATAAATCTGTGTACACTGGGAATTCGAAATGCCATGGGCAGGAGAGAGAGAAGCCTGGGATCATCTGGAAGCTTCCAGAAAGGTTGCTTCTCTTACTGAGGCTGGGCCACACCCTGGGCTGTTGGGAGCCCTGGCTGTGCCTTGTTTTGTTCAGCTCTAGTATATGGTGACCTTGTAGCTCCAGCAGGACTTAAAGCAGCTTTAGAAAATCAGTGATAATTGAGAGAGGGTCTCGCTCTGTCACCCAGGCTGTAGTGTGGTGGCATCATCCTGGCTTACCGCAGCCTAGACCTTCTGGGTTCAAGCAATTCTCCCACCTCAGCCTCCCAAGATGCTGGAACTACAATCATGCACCACCACACTTGGCTAATTGTTTATTTTTTGTAGAGACAGAGTCTCACCATGTTGCCCAGGCTGGTCTTGAACTCCTGGGGAGCCCAGCAATTCTACAAGCTGATTACCATAAAAGCATCTTGCGTTTGGGTCTAAATTTCCTGGCAGCTAAAATAAAGGGAGGAACATATTGAGTTACATAGTTTTCTTTTTCTGACAAAAGAATGCATACAAATTGACTTGCAAGAGCCTGGCATTTTCTTGGAATGAAGTGCCTGCCAAAACATGCTCTGAGTGTCCCTGTAAAAGAGACACTGGGTTGTGGAATGGACCGAAGCTTCTACCACAGTATTGCAAAAGACCCACAGATGCTGTTCAAACAGATGATGCTTGTAGGGCATTTCCAAAAAGGCAGAGGCCACCGGGAACATCGTAATTCAGGGAAGGCATTTCTGCTTTGATGTCTCTGTTCTCTTAGGACAAGTACAAGAAGAACCCAATGAAAACATGGCTTCTCCTGCATCCCAGAACCAAACAGAGCCCTCAGAGTGGCTTCACGGCAAGGATCCAGCATCTCCATTCATGGCCTGTGGATGGCTGACATTTGAAGAAAACACCTACCCACGTATGCATTTGTGTATTGATGTACGCAATATATATATGTGTGTGTGTGTACACACATGCAGCTTTTTATGATTGTAAAATTAGTGCTAGTGTTCTTTGCAAAAAATTTTGAAATATAGAAAAACATGAAAAAAAGAATGTGCCAGTAACAGCAATTCAGAAAGATAAGCTCAATTAAATCTTGCTATATTTTGATTTAGTCATTTATCTACATGTGATATATCTATATATCGATATATACATATATATTTATATATGTACATATATATTAATATATGTAATCATTTATCTACATGCGACACACACACACACACACACACACACACACACACTCTGAATGTGACCCTAGGGTCATTGGGTCATTCTCTGCACCTTTTTAAAATTTCAAACTTTTTCATTCAACAAGATTTTATATATATATATATACACACACATATATATATATATACACACATATATATATATATATACACACACACACATATATATATATATATATATACACACACATATATATATATGGGCAGGGTCATGCTGTGTCACCCAGGCTGGAGGGCAGTGGTGCAATCATGGCTCATGGCAAACATGACTCTCAGGCTCAAGCAATCCTCCCACCTCAGCCTCTTGAGTAGCTGGGACTACAGGTATGCACCATGATGCCTGGCTAATTTTTTTTTAAAGTTTTGTAGCAATGGACTTTTGCCATGTTGCCCAGGCTCAAGTGATCCTTCCACTTTAGCGGTCTGAAGTGCTGGTATTACAGGCATGGGCCACCATGCTGGGCCAAAGTAGGGTGTTCCAAGATCCAAGAGGAAAGACTTTATCGAAAATGTTTTTGTTGCAATGATTAGAAAAATCTTATTTTCAGCCAGGTGCAGTGGCTCACACCTGTAATCCCAGCGCTTTGGGAGGCCGAAGCAGGTGGATCACCTGAGGTCAGGGGTTCGAGACCAGCCCGGCCAACAGGGTGAAACCTCATCTCTACTAAAAACACAAAAAATAGCCGAGTGTGGTGGCAGGCTCCTATAATCCTAGCTACTCGGGAGGCTGAGGCAGGAGAATGACTTCAACCAGGGAGGTGGAGGTTGCAGTGAGCCAAGATCGTGCCATTGCATTCCAGCCTGACAGACAAGAGTGAGACTGAGTCTTAAAAAGGAAAAGAGAAGAAAAGAAAAAAAAAATCTTATTTTTAAAACACTAAGCTAAATGATAAATAAAAACTAAACTGTCATGAATTAACAGGGTTAAAACAAGCAGTACATTAAAAAATTCATTGTGTTTTTTCAAAAAAATTTTCCCTGTGAAGTGTAATATACATACAGAAAAGGGCACAAAATAAATGTATAACTTAGTCAATATCCATCACGTGGGTCAATAAATAGATGTTGCCAGAACTCGAGATACCTCCTCATGCCTCCTGCCAATCACTACTTCCTTTCTCCTCCCCAAAGGTAAACACTTCTCCTGATTCTATTATTCATTACTTCTTAGTTTTGCCTGTTTTCTAAACAATTTTTATACTAGAATCTAATGTGTGTGTTCTTTTGCATCTGCTTTCTTTTTGTTGCTGTTGTTGTCCCAGGTTTATTGAAAATAATACAGCATTACAAAAAACATTCAAACAGGTCCCCGAGGCGTTTTGAAATTCATCCCAACTGGAGGCTGAGTGACCCGCAGTTTGGACAGACTGCCGAAATTCAAAAGCTTCAGCATTTTCTTAGTGTCAGGATCTACGTCAATGATCTCCTGATCCAGGACTGAGACATCAGGAACATAATTGTCTCTCCTTTCTCTTTCCTCCTCCTGCAGCTTGATGGAGCTACCTCTGACCAGGTCTCTCTGAATCTGTTTCATCAGATGTGTGACATAGCCCGCTGTCTTGTTGTGGAGTTTCTTGCTGGGGATAATGGTGATCTCCTCACACACGTGCTTGTTCATGTGGAAGTTGTTGCCCAGGCACGGGTAGTACTTTTCTATGATGACCCGGGCCGCCTTCTTCATGATTTTGGTGTGAACATGGCCCATGTTGGCGGGTCCTTGGTGAAAGAGCGCATCTGCTTTCTTTTGCTGCACAGTATGCTCGTGAGAATCCGTATGTTGTTGCATTAACCAGAGTTTCTTCATTTTCCTTGCTGTATAGTATTCTATTGTGTGAATCCACCATAATTATTTTTAGTACTCTACCACTGATGGAAGTTAAAGTTGTTTCCAGTTTGGGGGTACTTGTAAATAATGCTGCTCTGAGTATTCCATATGTCTCTTGGCCCCTTGGTAAGCATATGTTTCTGGTGAATACTCACTTAGGAGTAAAATTGCTAGATGTAGGATATGTCTGTCTTCAGTTCTAGTAGGTAAAGCCAAACCATTTTCCAGAGTGACTGTATCTGTTGATATTCTCACCACCACTGTAAAAAGCTCCTGTTGCGCTGCAGCGTATGAACAATTGGTATTATGAGTTTTTTTAAACTTTAGTCACTCTGGTGAATGAGGTTTTATTAAATAATTTGCATATAACTAATAAAGCTAAGCACTTTTTCATATGCTTAATGACCAATTGCATATCCTATTATGAATGATCCGTTCTGATCTCTTGACCCTGTTTCTAACAGTTTGCCTGTCTTTTTCTTATTGATTTATGAGAATTGTTTACATATTTTGGATACTCTGGTGTATTCGTTTTCTATTGCTGCTGTAACAAATTACCACAAACTAACAAAACCATGCAAATGTATTCTCTTATTGTCTGCAGGTGAGAAGTCCAAAATCAGTCTCAGGGGTTGAAATAGAGAGGAGAACTGTTTCCTTGCCTTTTCTAACTTCTAGAAGTCGCTTGCATTCTCTAGCCTGTGGCCCTTTCCACATGTCGCTCTAACTGCTTGCTTCTGTTGTCATATCTCCTGCAACCTTTCTGCCTCCTTCTGAAAGAACCTCACGATGCACATAGGGGCCACCAGTAGAGTCTCATCCAGCAGTCTTCCCACTGCAGGATTCTCGGCTTAACCACATCTGCGAAGCACTTTTTTCTGTGTAAGGTAAAACAGTCACAGGTTCTGGGCACTTGGATGTGGGCATCTTTGGGGGTCATTATTCTGACTACCATGTCTAGTATACAAAACCAACAAAAAATAAAATATTTAAAATCAAGGTACTAAGGTACCAAATCAAAGTGTCAATTTGAAAAGATCATCGTAGCACCAGTGCTAGTCAGAACAGTGAATTACTAGCCTCTTGGAGGGCATTTGACCAGGCAGAGGTTGCAGTGAGCCGAGATCACACCACTGCACTCCAGCCTGGCCACAGAGTGATATTCCATCTCAAAAACAAAAAACAATACAACAACAACAAAAGGTACATTTAAAAGATACTTAATGGGCTGGGTACAGTGGCTCATGTCTGCAATCCCAGCACTTTGGGAGGGCAAAGCAGGCAGATCACCTGAGGTCAAGAGTTAGAGACCAGCCTGGCCAACATGGCGAAACCCCTTCTCTACTAAACATACAAAAACCGGCTGGGTGTGGCGGCATGTGTCTGTAATCCCAACTACTTGGGAGGCTAAGGCAGAAGAACTGCTTGAACCTGGGAGGCAGAGGTTGCAGTGAGCCGAGATTGAGTCACTGCATTTCAGCCTTGGCAACAGAGACTCTATCTCAAAAAAATAAAAACAAAAAATAAAATAAAATAATAAAAATGAAAGATACTTAATGGCATGGTACATATTGTGAGATATACCATGCTATATTAAGTACCAATTACCTAAGAGTTTCTTAAAACGTTAGTTCTATATAATGTCTACAGTAAAATGTTCCATAGTTAAATAAATTTGGGGAATATCGCACCCTTACCCTTCGTTCGGAAATGTGTAATATTAGAACATTAAATGTTCCAACAAGTCCTAGAAGAAAAAAATAACTACTTAACCCGATATTTCCCAAACTTACTTGACTACGGTTCTCTTTCTTCATGGAATGCTTATTAAAAATCTTGCAAAAGTCCACATAATGTACAGAAAATCTTGTGGGTCAGGCATGTTGGCCCATGCCTGTAATTCCAGCCTTTCGGGAGGCTGAGGTGGGAATATGACTTGAGACCAGGAGTCCAGAACCAGTTTGTGCAACATAGATCCCACCTATAATTTTTTTTTTTTTTAATTAGTGAGGCATGGTGGTGTGTGCCTGTAGCCCCAGTCACTCGGGAGGCTGAGGTGAGATCATGTAAGCTGGGAAGCTGAGGCCCCAGAAGCTATGATCACACCATTGCACTTCAGTCTGGATGATAGAGAACCTATCTAAAAAAAAAAAGAATGCCCCATCTCACATGGGTCTATCGCATAGAAAACAGCTATTTGTTTCTTCTTGTCATTAAAACTTTTTTAAATTTAATTTTAATTTTATTTGAATTTTTGACATGGGGTCTTGCTCTGTCACTGCAACCTCCGCCTCCTGGTCTCAGGCAACCCTCCCACCTCAGCCTTCCGAGTAGCTGGGACTACAGGTGCATGACACCACATCTGGCTGATATTTTTGCATTTTTGGTGGAGACAGGGTTTCACCATGTTGCTCAGGCTGGTCTTGAACTCCTGAGCTTAAGCAACCCACCTGCCTCGGCCTCTCCAAGTATTGGGATTACAGGCCTGAGCCACCGCACCCAGCCTAAACTTTTAAAATATGTTCATTTACATTAAGTAGCCCGTGCAGCAAAGTACTGACGTCGTTTCAAAGCCGTCAGGAACATCGGCTTTGATTTGAATGAAGAGAAAAAACGAACCGATTGCTCTTCTTGGAAAGGATGACTCTGTGGCATACACACCACAGTCTCCCGTTAGGCATTCATTAAAAGTCTGAGATTTCTGCAGTAAAACAATGTGATTACAGCTTTGATAATCTAATTATTTTGTCAGGCAACTTTTTTCGGTATAAAATACATATTAAAAATCTTACACTCAGGCCGGGCGTGGTGGCTCACGCCTGTAATCCCAGCACTTTGGGAGGCCGAGGTGGGTGGATCACGAGGTCAAGAGATCGAGACCATCCTGGTCAACATGGTGAAACCTCGTCTCTACTAAAAATACAAAAAATTGGCTGGTCATGGTGGCGCGTGCCTGTAATCCCAGCTACTCAGGAGGCTGAGGCAGGGGAATTGCCTGAACCCAGGAGGCGGAGGTTGCAGTGAGCCAAGATTGAGCCATTGCACTCCAGCCTGGGTAACAAGAGTGAAACTCTGTCTTAAAAAAAAAAATCTTACACTCTCATTGTTCCATGATACACACTTTGAGAAATATTGAATTAGTTCATTCTTCAAATTTTCCTGTTAGAGGAGAGAAGCGACTCGTCCAAAGTCACCCGGTAAGGTATAGTTAGAGCCCCTCTGTGACAGGCTGCCTGGAAAGGAGAGGTGACTCAGACAGCAGTCACACTTATCTGTAATGGTCGGTTTCTAATAAAGAAAATGGCAAGAATAACATAATGTCCATATAGTCTCCATTCAGGTTAAAAACTAAAATTTTGCAAATATAGTCCAAACCTTCTAAGACCCCACCCTGGTCTCATCTCACTTTTTTATAGAGGTAACCTCTGTCATGAACTTGGCATTTATCTTTTCTACGCATGTCTTCCTACGTATACCACTGTGTTAGTTTGCTAGGGATGCCTTATCAAAGTACCATAAACTGGGGACATAAGCGACAGAAAGTAATTCTCTCATAGCTCTGGAGGCTGAAGTCCGGGACTTCAGCGAAGGTGTGAGCAGGCTGCTTCCTCTCCCTCTGTCTTCACGTGGCCAGCCCTCTGTACGTGTCTATTCTAATGGCTTCTTTTTTTTTTTTTTAAATGGAGTTTCGCTCTTGTTACCCAGGCTGGAGTGCAATGGCGCGATCTCGGCTCACCGCAACCTCCGCCTCCTGGGTTCAGGCAATTCCCCTGCCTCAGCCTCCTGAGTAGCTGGGATTACAGGCATGCGCCACCATGCCCAGCCAATTTTTTGTATTTTTAGTAGAGACAAGGTTTCACCATGTTGACCAGGATGGTCCTGATCTCTTGGCCTCGTGATTTACCCGCCTCAGCCTCCCAAAGTGCTGGGATTACAGGTGTGAGCCACCGTGCCCGGCTCTAATGGCTTCTTATAAAGAAGCCAGTCAGATTGAATCTGGGCCCACCTTGATGACCTAATTTTAATTTAACAACCTTGTTAAAGGCCCTGTCTCCAAATAGTCACATTCTGAGTGTGTCGGGTTACGGCTTCCACATATGAACTTTGGGGGGCACATTTATTTCAGCCCATAACAGCCTCCTACATGCTCATTCTCCTATGGGTAGTGTTTTTGGGTGTTATAAACAATGTTGAATGAATATTCTCACACAAAGCTCCGTGTCACATTCGCTAACTAGAGCTGAGTGTATATGCCTGGGAGTGAAATTGCTGGATTATTAGGGTTGCTCATTGACTAGACTTTCCTTTTCTCATTGATCCATAGTGTCATGTGTCAAGTTGCCAAAGACCCATGGGAACTGTCTGGGCTCGCTGGCCTGTGGGTCTGTTTGTCTCTCTGGATGAATTCACAAAGGAGAGGCCTCTGTTAGGGATTGAATCGTGTCCCTCCAGCTCCCAAATTCATGCTCTGGAGTCTGAATCCCCAGGACCTCAGAATGTGACCTAATTTGGAAATAGGGTTGATGCAAATAAGTGGAGATGAGGTCATCTTGGAGTCGGGTGGCCCCTCGTCCAGTATGCCTGGTGTCCTTACAGAAGGGGGACATTTAGACACAGACACACACAGAAGGACATCCTGTGAAGATGAAGATGGCCACATATGAGCCAAGGAAAGAGGCCTGGAGCAAGCAACCCTGCCTATACCTGGACTTCAGCTTTCTAGCCTCCAGTACAGTAGGGAAATACATTTCTGCAGTGTAAGCCCTCCAGTTGGTAGTACTTCGATATGGCAGCCCTGGGAAACTGATATAGCCTCCATGCCACTTCCCCACTCCGACCCTCCTTCCCTGTCTCTCTTCACTCTTTCAAAGCCAGAAATAGCATAGGATGGTGAGTCAGGGCTGGTGCTGCTTAGGAGCACTGCCAACCACACCCTGGCCGCCTAGCCCCATGATTAAGAGAAAGCACAGGGCAGCGCCATGGACTGGGCCTCCCACTCATCCTCAACCAGCCCTGATGGCCTGTGTGTCTTCAACATACCAACCTACTCTGGGCTTTAGTTTCCTTGGCTGTAAAATCAGGCTGCTCCTTGGGATTTTC